AGTGTTCTGCTGAATCTTGCACCACTATTCACAAAACCTATTCGTTTTACTCTTTAAGTTTTTGACTTCTTATAAAGTAATCTGTCCATTAGGACGCATGCACACATATATAATATGTTCATAAAGACGTACATGGAGACCTATTGGAAGCACTCATTAAGAAGGTTAGGGAGATGGAATGTGAGGTACGAACATGTCTGGTACCAAGCAATATATTTGCGGTAGCCATAATAATCATAGTCTCAGAGCCTAACATCAAAAAAGGAGGGAGGGTGGTGCTAGCTGATCAGTAGATATGGTGATGGTCACTAAGGTGAATCATCCCATTCTGCAGGAACAACAATATGCAATTTCACGGCTCGAGATTTCCATGATATTTATGAGGGCTTAGATCTTTATCTTGAAAAAGATAATAATGAACGCCTTGACAGATCATGCTTCTACCTTTAAATATGTACCATTCGCTCAGCCTATTGTTGAGATGCGACCACGCGGGATCTGCACAGATTTATGGGGCATCTTATAAATTAACTTGCTATCCATTGTCAGATCTTTAAATACCACTTCACAATGTCTTATCTCATTCATTTTCTAATAACGTCTTTACTTGATCCTCATTATATTCCATTAAACCTAACATTTTATAGCTCTTTATGAATTTGATTCGACTTATTCTATTCCTATTCTCTGTAGAGTACGGTTGTGCACCAAATAGAAAAAAAGGCATGCATTAAAAACAACTGGCTTGAAAATAATTGTACTAAAGCCAAAAGTGGACATCATGATAGTACAAAATATATTGGTTTTATTATACATTGCAAATGAACGTTGTCGGCCTAAGGATTAATTACTTCCCCATTCTGTTTTCTATATAAATGTATTTATTAATGATATATCGCACTCACTTAATCTATTACACTTTAATGTTTCACCTTAGCACTTTAACTTTTCTAAAACAGCTCTCAATCCTTTGTAAACGTTGTACTTACCTCAATATTGGCTGGTTATCGTATGCCTACAATCACGGGATGAAAACGAAACCAAGTCGATTTTCCCGCTCAACCTGGAGGACAACTGTAAAATTCAATAACTATACGGCCTGATTCAGACAATGAGTGTAATTATATATGTATCAAATATTTAACTGTTGAGACATTATTAACTTGTAGACAATCTAAGGTTTGACATTATAACATACTTGATCGTGCCTGTAAAAATGGCATGCATTTTCATGTACATTTATGTTTATATGAAAATATAAAATTATTATTATAAAATTCTAAAAAGTAATCTAATTAGGTGGAGAGAGAGATTGATTACTTAATCCTGGTTCATTGATTCTGCACCCAACACATGCAGTAGAAGTGACTCAACGCAAATGCCAGAGGTATGGAAGATATTATTACCACCAGTCAGTCAAATCAGAGGAGGATAATAGATAATCTTAAAATTCTATTTCAATTCAATTCACGTACATCATAGCGTTTTAACAAGCTACTCATTTTGACTTTAAAAGCACTCGTTTTATTTCCCATTTGACTGTACTTTATTGATAACACTAATGTCATTTCCGAATGTATTTTGTCTTCCTTTCTGTTTCATGCATTTCTTATATTGATTGTGTTCATATGCCTAAGCCATTTTTACTCATGTATGTAAACGAACAAGCAAGTTATGTTCTCGAAACGCTGTCATCAGTAAATATTACTGTATAACACCACTGTGCGGTTTTATCCATAATGGAGTTATATTCTACCACCACAGTGCCCAATTTTATCCTTCTATCAAACAAAAAAGAGTTGAGAACTTTTCTATTTATGTTGTATAATTGTGATTCCTAACCCATTTTAAAGAAAATTAGAATAGTTTTTTCCCATATTTTTAAATTGTGTTTGACTGTACCACTTACCCTTATCATATACACAATGATGGTGTATTCTATTTATTTTATGTAGTTTTCAAAATGATAATGAACCGAAAAAGGTGTTTGAATGTTGTCCAACTCTTCAGTTGCTAATTGATTCAGGTCATATTCTAGTTTTCACATGGAAGAATGGCTATGCACCTGAATGAATCAAAGACAATGATGATTTTATACCTCTTTCATTAAAACAAGAAAGAGAAAAACTAAAACAATCATCAATAGAAATGGAGAAAATTGATTTTGTAGCAGGAGATGCTTCCTCGGAACCAAATGAGGTAAGTTTATTTTATCCAGTTTATCTAGTTCATTTTACTCCAATTTTTCATAGTATTAAGTTTTCTTATGGAGAGAAACGTGTGGTCTGATCGTTAGCTAACATCAGCTAGAGAACCATTGGAAAACCAGTGTATACTGGGCACCTGTTTCGTCCTAGTTTGGGATTGTTCCTCTGTACTCATCCTCAGGGGTTTGGACACAGAACCTTCCTGTTACAGAGCAAGCTGGTAGGTCACTCAGCCAGTGGCCCACGAATTCCAAGTTCTTCCTACTCGTGATATATTTATGTATAACGCAACCGCCAGCCAATGTATTGAGCGAGTAACTGTTCTCTTACCTGACTTGGCGGACAGCATTGGTTATGACCTCTCACTTGAACTCCGGTTGACTCACTATATAAAACAGTCGCTAGTCAGCATATATATGTATCCGATATCTTGGCCAGAATTTTATATGTTCGGGAACTATGCGCTAATTTTATATAGATAATTCGACAATTTTAGGCCTCTAACATACCCAACTGATTTACAAAGACAGTGCTACTTTTCTACCTCAAATAGAGAATGGCGTTAGGAGTTTACTGTCTGCACTTCCAAACCAGTAAAATTGTAAAGCTAGGTTACTAAGTAGAACTCAACTATCTTGTCAGCCACGTCTCGTAAACCGTTAATGCCCAGCTCTTGCTACGCTCGGGCTCACGCTGTTCCTTGAAGTTTCTCAGAAACGCATAGTAATAACGGACGCAAAAACCAAAACACCGATTGGCCACTCGAGAATTCTTTATTGTAACACCAACGTAGAGGCAGCTTTAAATTAAGTATTAACCAAGGTCTATGAACAAATATTACAACAATAAATCACAATATTACTTCTGACAGTTTTGGTCTGACTTCTTTCTGAACAGCGACCGATGAGACGATGACTGTCGTATTGATGCCTCCGCGAAAATTGGGGAAGTTGGTTTTGAGCAAACAACCATGAATTCATCGTTCAATCTTCAACTGCATTGACACTCCCCGGCAAAATACCGATCCATCCCTTTTTTCTATCACGACCAATACACGTTGACTTGGATACCATTGCGAGAACCTGGGTCACACGGACAGAGCTGAAATGGAAAACAAACAGAAAAGCCAACACACCACAAGCATACTCACAGCACAATCTCACACATCAATGATGACCTCCGCCTTCGAGTTAAAGGTGTCCTCTTGACACATCCACTTGCAACACAATCGCCACTTGCTAGAATGACTCTTGCAGAAGGCGACGTGACCATAGAACCACCTCACGATACTCTACGCACATCCTCTTATCTACTCACTACAAATTACCACTGAAATCCTTCAAGTTGTTTTGTGTGAGTCCATTTTATGCCTGTTTCCTCGCTGCTCGTCACTGCCTGTCGCATTATCCAATCTACTGCAATCAGGAAAATCATTAGCGATAATACACAGCCTCTCCTCACTCCCGTCCTCACTTCGAAGGCTTCCGTAAGTTTCCCGTTGTGAACTACTTGGCATGCAGCATTGTCGTATAACTGTTGGATGAGATGTATAATTGTCGATAGCATCCCATAGTAGCGAAGTAGTTGCCAAATCACCTCTCGATCGACGGTGTCTGGTGAAGGCCTACCTTAAAATCTTTCTCATCTCTGTTGAACAAATATTTTACTAACAACGGGTGTCAATGGAGTTGAAGATTGAACGATCAATTCTTGGTTGTTTGCTTAAAATCAACTTCCCCAATTTTCGCGGAAGCATCAATACGACAGTCATCGTCTCATCGGTCGCTGTTCAGAAAGAAGATTGAAACATCGTCAGAAGTAATACAGAGATTTATTATTGTAATATTTGTTTTCAGACCTTAGTTTTCTTAGTTTGCTTAGTGATACTTGATTTATATGCTGGTGTAACAATACATAATACTCAAGTCAACAATTGGTGTTCTGGTTTTTTCGTCCGTTGTTACTAAGCGTTTCTCAGAAATCTTCTAAGAACAGCGTGGGCCCGAGCGTAGCGAGAGCTGGGCATTAACGGTTTATGAGACTTTGCTGACAGTTTCTGACGATGGAAACAGATCTGGCGGATTGAAACAGTTGGTGAAAGTTTGGATAGTCGCCGTTCATCTTTCCTGGTGCCGGTCAAGTCCTCTTTGAACAAGCAATATCTGGAACGTATTTGGAATTGGGTCAAGTTCAACAATGCCTGGGTCAAAGAAGGGACAGAGTGTCTTGGATGCAAACAGGAAAGTAAGTCATGGTGACTTGTCTGTTAATTGTAACGATGTGTCTGATGTTAAACATGATATGGTTGATGTTACTGTTTCGCCGTTCAGGGATAATAGGAACATCAAACTCCCTAAATTAGAACCACGGTGTTTTGATGGAAACCCGGCTGATTATTTACAATTTGTAAAGGAGTTTGAGATCATGCTGAATAGTTTTCTATTAAATGATGAATTGAAATTGATGTATTTGATGAGATATTGCACTGGAGATGCTGCAAGAGCTATACAGTGTTGTAAGTTTATGAAGCCAAAGGAGGGCTACGATGAGGCTATGAGCATATTACGTCAAAGGTTTGGAAGACCCTCGATGATTGCAGGGAAATTATTCGAGGCTGTTGAGGGTAATGGTGGTCAGTTAAAGGATGACTCCCAGGCACTCACTGAGTTTTTAGATAATTTGCTAATTTACAAGAATGGAATGATTTCGATGAATCGAATGAGTGACCTCAACTCGAGTTTTATACTAGAAGTAATAGCAAGACGTCTACCTACTCGACTGCAAAGGAAGTGAATGAAGATAAGCTCCCGTATGGAGGATGAGGGTATCGAGCCAAAATTTGATGATATCCTGAAATTGGTAAAAGATAGTGTCAATCAATCTATGAGCAAGTTTGCCAGTATATTGAATCTCACCCATAGAATAGAGCAGTCTGAGGGGAAAACGTACTCATTGATGACGAAAGGGCCTCAGAGAGGTGGATATCGAGAAGGCTCCATGATGTCTAGTAATGCATATAGATCTAGTGAGTGTAACAATTTTCGTAGTACATCCTCAACAGATAAGTTGCAAGATGCAAGACAAACACGGTTGTGTTGTACTCGTTTGCAAGAGGTGCATACAAAGGTGAGCTGTGAACCGGTGAGCAAGTTCAGTGATAAGCTAAATGTAAACTCCAGGCCTTACTCCGAATTGTGTGACGATAACGTTGTTGTGAAGAAGTCTGTAGTTGCAACTGGTAAGCCGTTGTTGAATAGAGTGTCACAGAATAGAGTTACTGCTTCAGAGTGGAGTTCTGACTCCAAAAGTTTACAAAGTATATCTAGTCAGAGTGAAGTTATAAAACCTTTAATGATTTTTGAGGAGGAACCAAAATTATCTACTTCTGTTATTAAAGAGTTTGAAAATGATGAAGTTGACGGTAAAGTGAATATTTATGGTAATGATCATGATAGTGCACATTTGTCTTTGGTTGATCATGATGAGATGAGGGATATGCCTACTACTGCTAAGTTGAACAAATTTTCTGTACAACTTGAACGTGAAGTAGAAATAAATGCAGATGCATTTGCAGAAGTTATGGATATTTGTGAGACCGTCAGTGTGAGTGATCAGCATGTAGCCCACCTATCATCAGATGATAGTGCTGAACCCGAACTGGTAGTGAAAGACAGCAGTGGTGGTAATCTTGCAGTTGGACAACTATCTGAGAGCCGAACAAGAACAGCTTCTGATCCACCACTAAGTTCATCACCTTGTGTCACTCAGTCGTCGTTGGTGTTTTCATCCACAATGAAACAGATGCCCATCAACTCAACTATCTTGTGCAATGACTATGGTAGTATCAGTTCGTTTGAAAGGACGAATATCAATGGTCAGTTTAGTGTGGATAAGCCAAGTGTAAAGGAGAGAGTTATTGTTAAATTGACTTGCACGAATAAAGGCGTTTCTAGTTTCAAGTTACTATTTGAATGTTATTATCTTTGGTGTAAATTACTCTGTTTCTATACTTGGTTGATGAGATATGTCGTGTGTTTGTTGGTCATCTATATTCTACGATACAATGACATGGGCGTGTTGCCGTTCAGATTTGAGGATATAGCTGATAGAAGGAAGTTAGCAAATGAACTCTGCGACGATTTTCCAACCTAGGGCGTCAACCTGAGAAGGGTTGTAGGCGTACTGCTGTAAGTCCTACAATTCTTCAAAGGGTAGCGCATCAATGAGCAGTCTAATGTGCTTGGTGTGTGATTTTGTACATATGTTGATGTTGTATATACTGAATTGATATCATCTGTCATCTAGCTGTTGGTAATTCTGTTTGTGTCCGGACGACTTCCACTTGGATCATCAACCTGAGAATGAATGTAGGCGTACTGCTGTAAGTCCTACAGTTCTTCAAAGGTAGTTTGTCAAGGCAGAATCCACAACATTTGATGTGTTGGTTGTACATATGTTTGTGTTGAATAATTGTGTGAGTTCCAATTGATGTAATTGTTGGTTAATCTTGTTTGTGTCCGGACATTCCACAAATTACAATCGTCAACCTGTGAAGGTTTGTAGGCGTACTAGTGTAAGTCCTGCAATTCTTCAAAGGAATTCCACCAAGAGATGATCGGCGAGGTTGTTCGTACTATTTGTATATACGTGTGGTGTGTCATATCAATTTGTGATTTTGGATTCATTGTGTTTACTCGTTGTTTTCGTACCTTGTTGTTATTGCGTAATTTTGTTAAAATTTTCGTCGTGATTATTTCTGAAGTTGTTTCGAGTCTTCTACATCCATGAATGAATTGATTGATGTTAAGGACAGCAGATGGGTCGTATACGCCGGGGAGGCTAGGCTATTGCTGAGAATGAAATGCACACGCAGATAATTGTTAGCTGCGGTCCGACACGCCGGGGAGAAAGAGTGTGAACGACTGAGGCTCGCATGCGTCACCGCTACTAGAACTGAGGCAGAATGAGTGACAAGCGATTTCAGTGATAATTGATAGTGAATAGAAAAGAGGATGCTTGAAGAGTATCATGAGGTGCTGCTATGGTCACGTTGCATTCTGCAAGAGTCATTCTAGCAAGTGGCGATTGTGTTGCAAGATGTCTGGAGGCGCAGGTCGTCAGCGATGTGTGAGATTGTGCTGTGGGTTTGCTTGTGGTTTGTTGGCTTTTCTGTTTGTTTTCCATTTCAGCTCTGTCCGTGTGACCCAGGTTCTCGCAATGGCATCCAAGTCGACGTGCATTGGTCGTGAAGGAAAAAAGGGTTGGATCCCTTTTTTGCCGGGGAGTGTCAATGGAGTTGAAGATTGAACGATCAATTCTTGGTTGTTTGCTTAAAATCAACTTCCCCAATTTTCGCGGAAGCATCAATACGACAGTCATCGTCTCATCGGTCGCTGTTCAGAAAGAAGATTGAAACATCGTCAGAAGTAATACAGAGATTTATTATTGTAATATTTGTTTTCAGACCTTAGTTTTCTTAGTTTGCTTAGTGATACTTGATTTATATGCTGGTGTAACAATACATAATACTCAAGTCAACAATTGGTGTTCTGGTTTTTTCGTCCGTTGTTACTAAGCGTTTCTCAGAAATCTTCTAAGAACAGCGTGGGCCCGAGCGTAGCGAGAGCTGGGCATTAACGGTTTATGAGACTTTGCTGACAACGGGTTAGAAGGGGTATGTGACAAACTAAAAACTAGAGATCTAATACGGCACTCCTCTGACCCTCACTGTTAGCTCCCGAAATCTGTGAACTCTATGTTTGTCACTACTTTCACTATGATTGTTTTCACAACCTTAGCCACCTATTTCTAATCAGCCTTAAATTAAAAAAATTTTTTTCAAATATTTTTACATATATCCCTGAAAATATTGTATGCTAAGGTTCAATCTCAAGTTCCAGATGCAAATCAACTGAAGACGACTGGTATTAAAATATCTCTGGAGCCTGCCTAATGCCATATGTAACCACTGTCTAGCTCTACTCAAATTAAGCGCCAATGGTGCTTGTATAAATAATCAAATCAACGAACAACCTATTTTAACTTTCTACTACTTATTTGCTCAATGCTGCACGATTATTCCCTGATTTTCTAAACTACATTTGTTTATATCTAAAATGAATCTTATCTTACTATTCTATAACTATAATCCTGTGTATTCAAATTTTCCAGAACAACATATTATAACTTTCTACTACTTATTTGCTCAATGCTGCACAATTATTCCCTGATATTCTAAAATATATTTGTCAGCCACGTCTCGTAAACCGTTAATGCCCAGCTCTTGCTACGCTCGGGCTCACGCTGTTCCTTGAAGTTTCTCAGAAACGCATAGTAATAACGGACGCGAAAACCAAAACACCGATTGGCCACTCGAGAATTCTTTATTGTAACACCAACATATAAATATAATATTTGAACTATTTTCTGTGAACAAATATTACAATAATTAATCACAATATTACTTCTGACAGTTTTGGTCTGACTTCTTTCTGAACAGCGACCGATGAGACGATGACTGTCGTATTGATGCCTCCGCGAAAATTGGGGAAGTTGGTTTTGAGCAAACAACAATGAATTGATCGTTCAGTCTTGAACTACATTGTCATATCTCGTACTATAAACTGTATAAAGATCCCCAGCTCATTCTCGACTATCGTGTGAGGGGGAGCGCGTCTGTTTCTTAGAGTTATTATGACGATTCGGGGCCAGTGGAGTACACAGTGTTAGGGTGAAGTGGATGAGCGTCGATGGCACTGGTTGTCTCTAACACTATATCAAGAAATTATAAAGTTAGAATTCAATATATATATATATATGGACAAAGCAATAAGAAGACGTAATTTGTCTGGATGGTGTATTGTTTGTATTTACGCAACACATTTCGAACAATCTGATCACACACACTTGTCATTGGAATACACATGAAATTAATAAAGAGTTATGACGTGAGATGAATAAATTTAGGTCAAGTCAAAAAGACATACTTAAGGCCGAAATAACAACGAAGACCTTTAAATCAAATAGCAGAGGTAATAGTACATCTACTGTGGTATCAAAACAAAGTTTACCAAGGAAGGCGGTTTAGTGTGATGACAAATTGTTGCTTTGATCGCACAAAGGTGGTTTAAACTTCCTAATCGCTAACCAGGATACGCCCCAAACATGTTTATAGATAGGTTTAAAAGTTGTGTTAACGTCAATTTTATATCCTGTCTCCTCTGTGGTATGTTTCGCAATAGAGGAGCTAGGTCTCCTATTGTCACCATTGTTCGGTTCTTCAGATTCTGTTTGCTTCTGGAGCCATTTAGAAATATGCTCTGAAGCCGGCCCTTACCGGCAGAGATCGGTGAGTCCTTCCTATGTATGTGTCCACACGCACATTCAGATAGGTAAATACAGTGGGACGTGACATCACTTTTCGTATGTTCAAAGGGTTTAGGTGGATGAATATATTGGCTTCACATTCTCAATTATTATGATATTAGCTGCATAAAATGTCTTTCTGACCACGTCGTTCCACCGCTGTCGAGTTATCAAGCTGCTATAATGCTCCATATAGGGTAGCTTGATGTACACGTCTTTCTTAGCGGTGAGTTGGAGAATGGGTCATGATGTTTCGACTACTTTATATCTCCTGATGAACTTGTCTGGATAATTCTTACCAACCAGAGTTTGTGTCAACTTTCCTTCTTCCTCATCAAGTGTATCTTCAGTGCATATTCGTTGGATTCTATTGATGAGGCACCTTACTAAGATTTTTTGTACAGAACAGGGCATAAACTGTGATAATTAAGATACTGTACTGTCCAGGTAGGTTGTTTATAAAGAGATCGTTTAATTGACCCATCAAGCCGTTCGTCGACTAAGCAATATATCTAGGAAAGATAAACAATTATCTTCCTCTTCTACGGACGTAAACGATATGCTATTCTGAACTTCATTCATTCGATTCAAAATTGAGGTTGTAGAACAAGACTTATCACTTATGATTACAATATCATCTACA